CTGGCTGACCCCTTCTTAGGCTCGCACGACCTGACCGCAAGAGAACCAGAGATGCACATCGACATTTGCTCTCAAACGCAACATGCTTGGCTACATGCCAATCGATTTCCAACCTGTCGTATCCTTCTTCAAGGAGCCGGCAAGTCTTAAGTCGAGAGGGCTCATCGGAACAGTTGCTGACAGAGGGCACTCGCGCCGTCCATATATACAAGCCTTTGAGTTGGGTGCGTCGACTAAGACTCCTGAGCATTATGCGGTGCCTCTCAACACTGGTTTTCAAAGAAATGAGAGAAGCCCTAGCAGCTTCATTATCAATGAACAACATGACACGGACAAATTCAAACAAATCACTTAAAAGCTGTACAGCATACACTGCCGCAAAAAGTTCCAAAGTGGAAATGACCTTCGCGGTTTCGTTCTGCCACTGATTCATGATTCCAGAAGGGACGATACCAGAAAAGAAAAACCTCCGCACGATCACATCATGATCCACAAAGTAGGCCACCATGCCCACACTGCCACAAGTGTCATAATTTTCAAGAGCAGCATCGGTAAAAATGTAAAGTCTGCGTTGCGACATGCCGGCAGTGAGTCTACAAGGCATTGAGTGGCGTAGAAATTCAATTATCCACAAAATTTCATCTCGCAGTTCATCTGATACATCACGTTTGCCACTTGCTCTCAAGTTAAAGAGTTTCACATGCGAGGCCAAAGCTCTTCCAAAAGTGTGCGTTTCAGCAAACTGAAGCTTTCCACGAATAGAGGTAGCTTGCGACACTGATAATGACTCAGTTTTGCACACCCTCTCCAAATCACTGCAAAGCTGATCGACTCGGGAAGCTTTGTTTCGCACCTCTACAATTCCAGCGGTAGAATTAGAAAAATCGAAAAGGACTCCCAAAGCATCGAACTGTCTCGACGTCGGCATGCGCTTTGATTCTTTCCGTGAGATTTTCCAGCCAATGAGCTCAAAGAGGCGCTCAGCAGTGACTTGCGAATCATGTTCAGAGGCAGCCAAATCAATTTGCGGAAAATCATCATAATAGTTGCTCCAGACTAAACCCAGAAGCCGTAGTCCGATTGTATGACAAGCCCTGGCAATACGATTAAAACCGTATACACTTGCAGAAGCACCGAAGGGAAGAACATTGGACACAAACATACGTTTTCTTCCAGAAGGGTCATCAACAGCTAAGGCAGAGCACCACAAGGAGGATTTTGCAGTTAAGATTTGTTTGTACGCCGCATCCAAATCAAGCGTCCTGCCGCAGAGAGTCTTAGCGGCTTCAACATCAAGTGATTTGTGCAGAACGCCTTTCAGGCGCTTACCGTTGCTCAATTTGAAGTGGACTCGCCTGTCATCATTCACGGCCTCCAACCAGGAACGAGCAGTTGTGGAAATACCATCAATACCTGGAAGGTCCAGTTTGTAAGAACTTCCGTACGCCGAGTTCACAAGACTCTCTGACATATCATCGATGGATCTTATCTTGTCAGATTGTTCGAGGCCAAATCTCCTCGATACTACAAACATGGGCCCCAGGCGTTGTACAAGTTCTTCCTCCTCATAAGGTCCAGACAACCAGCCACGTTCAGCTTCGGCACAAGTGTTTTCCCAAACAGTCTTGAGCACACGTTCTTCAACTCCACATGTGGATTTTGCAAGGATCGTCTTGCGGGTCCATGTCGAAGACTTCAATAGTTGCACATTGCTAATCGAAGGCTCTTTGATGTCTGGCTCAAACTGACCTGTAGGCTCACCTGCGCCAGTTAGTTTGATTCCATTGAGCATTATGTCCGCCAGGCCGTCATCATCAACCCCGGCATCAGTACACATTCGTTTGAAGAGCAGGATCTTCTTGTCACGAATGATGAACTCACGTGCAGGATCCAATTGGTCATGTAACGTTTTCTCCTCGCCCTCAAGTTCCAGACTAAGACGTTCGTAATTGTCCAGTATAAGTTTTCTTTGTTCAGCAACTACCTTAGGCCCATCCGTGAGAAGCCAGAAAATAGCCCTTTTTACATCATCCTGGACCGAGCTGCAGTCGTCAAAAGGGTGTTGAAGTCGAAGAGCTTCTTCTGTGAATTGATCAGGCGTGCGATATATACCAATTTCAGCAATGCATTCATCATCTGTCCCCGTCTCTCCCATCTTAAAGGACAGCAGTTTGGCAGCAAATGGCAATTGAAAATGTTGCATCTCCTGTTCGGTCAGCATGCGTGGTGCTTGGCGTGGCCATTGTAAGGGCCACTTCAACAAACGAACGTGCGAAAATTCAGAAATGATTTGCGGCAGCAAGTTCCCACGCGGTTGCCGGCCACTTTGCGCCGCTCGCAGTTGGTTTGCGGGGGGATCTAACTTGTACTTCTTGTTGGGAGGCTGTTGGACAAGGACAATGTTGTGTTGCCGTGCTTGTTCTTTAATGATAGCAGCGACTTTGGAGCACAGTTCCTCAGGGTATTCAGCCTCTTCTGCAGTGTTGAAGCGCCAACCATCAGTTTTGCGATCCACACCCCATGGCAAATGGGTATGGCCACCATCACAGGTGAGAGCAAGAGGACTGAAAGCGCTGCAGTTAGTGTAAAATGTTGTCCATTTGTCCCGGAGCGACCCATGCATACAGGCTTGAAATGTAATGGGAAAAAGGCATCTCTTTTTGATCAGCTTGCGAAACCACGAGGTGGCCCACATGTGTGAGCGTGTAGGATTCTCCACGGAAATGATGCAAGATGCAGGCAGCATAGCTAGAATTTTGCAAATGTTATCATAAACACTGTTGGCAAGTTGTACACGTTCCTTGTTGATACCATGCAGGTTGGGAAGCCCATCTGGACGCTTAGTTGACCTCAAAGGCTTTGGGGCTGGGACGCCTTTCTTTCGAAGACGTCTTGGAACACGTTTCTCGCGGGCTCTCGAACATGTTCCACACGGCGGCGCCGCATGTGCATAAAGAACGGTGGCATGAGAAGCCACCAAAGACTTGAATTGTTCAACGCATCCTGGCTGTGCCAGATCTAGTTGAACAGTGGAGTGCTCTTGTTTATGACGATTCTTGGAATGATCAACTGCAAGAACACCAAAACCAGCTTTGTGGAGATGCTTGGAAAGCCGAGCACACCCAGCACAAAGTTCCACACATAGTACCCGATGGCTCGGACATCCATGCAGCTCGTCTGAATTGCGTTGGGCCCCCCGCTGGTCAGAAGGGGCCTCGCATTCATTTCACTGATGCTCAAATTGGGGGTGTGGCTTGCCACACCCCCATCTCATACAGCAGTGCCAGCCTTTGGGGCATCGTTCACCTGGCTTGGCTTTGCTGCATCCTTTGAGGTTGAAGTCATAGCAGTTGGGTTCACCTTGCGCATTGGTGGGGGCCATACCAATCAGCTGAGGTGGCATGCGGATCAAATTGGTCTTTGCACCTTTGCCGCGACCTTTGCGACCTTTGGTTGGATTGTGGCTCGAATTGGCACGCAAGTTCTTCACTTGGCCTTGGAGATTGGCAATTGTCTGCTGCAGCTTTGCATACTCACCTGAAGATGCGGAGGATTTTGACTTCTTGGGATCCTCCTCTAGCGCATCTGCCTTGCGCTTGATTCCACCTTGAAGAGGTTGAAGTAGCAATCGCACCTCTGCAGCATCCATGGCTTTCAGAAGAGCTACCTCCACCGGCTTTGTTCCACTGATTGGCTTGATGCCGCTTCTGGTCTCGCGCATCATGACTTTGAAGAGTTGCAAATCTGCACGATGCAACTGCTCAACCGTGACACGGAGATGGCCTTCCGGAGGGGGTGAGCAGAATGCGTCCATCATAGTGTGCGTCCACTTTTCAAAGACATTGTAGTCCACCAATCGTGCCTGGTCAAAAGACAAGGACCTCCTCTGGAGCGCCAGCCTCAATTTCAGGTCAGTGTGGGTGTCTGCTTTCAAAGCTTCAGACACCTTGGTCTCACGGATAAGCCCTGAGCTATCTGGCTTCCACACTGGATCCACCTTGATGCCCATTAACTCCTGGTCACGCTTGGTACACTCTTCCCAGCGCACATATTTCAACTGATCCTCCTCGGCCATGTTGTAGACGAGGTCTATGAGAGCGTTGCTCGGTTCCAGCTCCCCAGTCATGTCAATGCCACTCAAGCGCTTCCGTTGGTCATCGTACCTGGCTGAACGCTCGGCATTAGCCAGCTTTCTGGGTGCACTGTCATCTTTGCGCTCAACTCTCATTTGCATGTCAGCAGCCGCCCATGTATAAGATTCGAAGAATAGTCGCCGGACAATTGGCAACCTCGCAGCTAATGGAGGGTCTGAGCCCGTGATCTCTGCCGCCAACTGCTTCAGAGCTGTCTCATCCTGCTGTCCTGGGGTGTAGCTGGTAGCAAAGGCCAGCTTACCGAAGGTATCGTACCCTAGGGCCTGCAGGTTGCGAAGCTCTTCATCATTAGCCCCTAGCTTGCGAGCCCGATCAAGGAAGTCGGCTGAAGAGTCCAGCATGTTCACAATTCGGCACAAGTAGCTTCTGCTTGCACTGGGCCAAATCTCAGTGATGCAGCAAATGACAAACATAAATGCACAAGACATGGAAAGACATGAGTTGAAAAAGAACCTTGGACCTTATACCTTGATCAGTGCATGAACATCACAGCGGTTACTTAGGGGAATGCAACACAGTAAAGCGAAAGCAAAACGGAAAAAATTCTAAATCCACTGGATCATGATAAGTTGGCACGCAGGACATCAACATGTGAACAACCGCCTATCAACTCTCACCAGTTGCTCCTCGGCCACATCGGCTCTTGCTCGCGACATCCGCGGCAGTGGTGCAGCCTACAGCAGCGAGAATTCCACACACCGTAATAAAGCAGAGGTGTTCAGTGGCCCTGAATCTCACTCAGACATCAACATCTGAACGGCACATGAGGAGGTTGTTCATACATCATCCGGCTAACCGCCTCAAACATTATTTTTCCTGCAAGTTTGCCAACCGCCCCCGAGGTCACATACTGCCAAAGCAGTGTTTACAATGAGGCCAGGACTTCTCTACATCACCATAAAATCTGGCATAAGTGGGCCCCAGTGCTCGACCACACGCCGTCTTGAAGTCCAGACTGTCGTGGCCGTAATGGATCGCGTGAGTACGCACATGTCTGTACATCATCTCCGTCACAGCATTCTTTGCCATTGGCCTGTAGGTTGCAAAATCTGAGTCTCTCGCAATAGCTGCCATGGCACTCTCTGCAGATGAGGAGCACGAGTCTGAGCAGTTTGAATCACAATCGGAGATAGATTTACTCTTGCTACTTTCTTCGTCCAGGCTCGGAGCAGCATCGTGGGCCGTACTCGAAACGGCCTCTTCATCCTCGCCAACATTTATCAGGTCTACCGGTGACCCGGCTTCTTCAGCATCTGCATAGGAACCCATGTCACTTGTGTCCAGGCGTTCCCACAAGTACTTCAAATCAGGGTAAAAGGAAGTTTCGTAGAGATCCGCTGCAGGAAATTCCAACATCTTCTCAGCCAAAGGTTGGAGCTCAGAGTCCATCGCTATCAGCATCTGTTCAACCACTGGCTTAATGAATTGCGGTTTTGCAAAAACCTCATCACGTGCGGCCATTGGGAGAAACTCACCTGATTGAGTTTCGCTAAGCACTTTGCACATGGTTCGCAGCGGAGCGGACAAGGCGCTTCTTTGATAGTTGATGGCGCTTCTGTGTTGAGTCAAATTTACCCAACAATTCAGTATGTGTATAGTCCACACCATAGGTTCCCAGGTAAGTCAGCACAGTAGTCTTCAAACTGTGGCTTGTGATCTTGTTGACCTTCGCAGCCGGAAGAATTTGCCAAGCATAAGGCGCAGCTTGGCAGTGACTTCTGAGGTAGCAACTCTCGTTTGCACTTCCAGACCACAGGTGGCTTCAGATGGCATCACCACAAAAGACTTGTCGTCGCATCGTGATTCAGCAGACGGGAAGTCTTTCAGCCCGAGAGACTTTCTGTTGTATGTGAATGCATGGAACCAATCCAAACCAAGCATACCATCACAAGGCACAACACACGGCAAAAAGGTGGATTGTTTTTCTTTTGCCCTCGCAGTCTTGACACGCATTAAGTTTCCCTCGACGAATGCTCCACGGACTGACAAATTGACAATCCGATGCATATCCGAAACACGTAGTCGCCCATAGATGCACATCAAGCAGAATCCAGCCATACATCTGAGATATGGGTCGTACAGACAAAAGCTCATCATTTCTAACAAAGCCAGCATTATCGGTTCCAACGGAGGCGCCTGTTTGAGAGGCCTCTTGGTCAGATACATTTGCAGAGCAGCACCTGACACTCTGGCCGATTCCAAACATGAGGCTGTTCCCGTCATTCCCAAAAGTTCTTGGCATTTGTTCAAGCGTCGAGATGAACGTCGTTCCACGTGTAGCGGAACAAGCAGTATCCCTAAGGTCGCACATGTAGTCATAGACAGTCGGCTCGTAAAACGGCAGAAACTGTTCTGACAGTGAATGCTTCCTAAGCCAACGGATGTAAAGCAGCAATGACGCCACACGTAGATTCAAAGTTCTTGTGGCTTTTTTCATCAGAGTGTCAGCGACGATCTGAAGATGTCGACCACAATCACCGTCGTCAACTTTTACTTCCATCAGCTGCTTACCCACTCTGGACTCACTAGGTTGGATCAAAATTACCTCAAGCCACTTCAAAAGGACTCGGTCTCTGTCCATGTCCCTGCTGGACCCGGCAACTTCGTGACTCAAGTCCCTAATGCGTAACTTGTGCTCATGATCAGAAATAATGCGCTCACTTGCACCACTTGATGATACAGCCGGGAAAGTGCGAGGAATTTTGGGAGCGGCAAGCCATGGCATCTTGTCCTTCTGGAATATTGATCTCATTAGTGGAGTAGATTCCCAGGGCATAGGCAAGCGTCCGACGTGGGATCCCATGGCAGTGGCAGCCGTCAATGCGGCTTCAACATCAACATTTCTGGATGAAGAAGGGGCTGCACCAGAAGAACCTAACAAATCATAACCCCTCTTCATCGTAACATTAACATGTGGTGAATCATCTCACCTTACCCACCCTACCCATCCCTGGTGGAGCCAATATGGCCGTTCACATCATTGCTCACTCTGCGGTCAGTTGTAAACAAAGATGGGTGGCACTATGTGCCAACCTATTCCTAATTCTATATCAATATTGCAATATTGTTCTATTATTTAATTCCTAGGTTAAATATCTTTAATTCAATTCTACCTTGGGTCTAGGTAAATTTCAATTTGAATAATGGATTTTGATTTAATACTATTTATTTAGTTCTAATTTAATTTCAATCTATTTCTTATTTAATTCTATTTCATTATGTTTTGCATTAAAAATTGTAATTTTGTCTATTCCAATTTCCAATTGATTTATTAATCATTTCTAATGTTAAATTCAATTGATCTATATATCTAATTTTCTTATGTGATTCCAATTCAATGCAAATGGAATTCTACTTGAGTTTTGCTTCCATTCTAGAGAATGAATATTATTGGTGGTATGAATATATTTCATTAAAGAAAGAATATACTTCCATATTGGAAAAATTTCATAAAATCTTTTATGCTCAAAGCAAGATCAATTCCCTAGAAATAAATGCGACTTTCATAAAATCCAAATTTTTAATTCAACACGAATGAAATATTAGAATTGAATCTGAAGTATATAATAATGAAATTAAAGGTAAAATCGAATTATAATTTGGCTTGCATTGAATCCCAATGAAGGAAATTTGAAGCAAAATAGAATTGAAATATAATTGAAATAGAATTGATCCTGAATTTACATATAGATTTGAATTTGAGTTGAATAGGAATTAAATTAGAATTTAGCTATTTAGGATTTATAACTATTTGCCTTCTAATTCTGATGTATTTACCCACCTGCATTTAATAAGAGCAATACAATTCCCACTCTAAAAGAAAGAAATATGATTTGCATGGGGACTATTTGGTAAACACCTAGCTTATGGGTTTAATCATTTCTATAATTCATAATTGAATGAATAAATATGTTTACCAATTGCATATAGAGCAGGAAATTTACAAAATTCACAACCCTTTTAAAAAGATATCATTCACCAAAAAGAACAAAACC